TAGAAGAATGGCATCTACGCTAATATTAGTCTGTTTCTTTCTTATTCCGAGGTCACCGTAGCCTCCAGATCCAGTCTGTATCCAGATCAGATGGTCACTGCAGTCACCCGGATCCAGTACGTATTCAGACCAGATGGTGGATCAGCACCTAGAGATGACCTCTACAGCCCTGAATGTCAGCGGAGACCAGGACAACTACATGAGTCCCAGATACAGATCCCCAGTGAGGACCTTGTCTCCTAGATGGCCACTGGGACAAGACTACAGGAACCAGATGAGTCCTCTGCACAATCTGACTCTGCTGCAGCCTGGAATGAAACTGCTGGTTTTGTCTGGCCAGAGGAGAACGGCACACTGTTTCCCTGTTTAATACTGTAAATCTGCTTTGACACAATCTGCATTGTAAAAAGTGCTGTACAAATAACGGTGACTTGACTTGATCCCGATGACGCATGCAGCCTCTGAAATGAGACGCAGCTATAGAGTTGAGCAGAAGCATCATGTGACTGACTGACATCCATGATGAGGAGATAGTCACAATAATCCAAAATAATGAATCAAGTCCATGAGAGTTCATGATGTAGAGCTGAAAACAGATGAACAAAAGACAGAGAGACGGCTGACCTGCTTGCAGTACGTCTGCAGTCTCTTCAGCTGAAGTTGATCTTTCTGATGCTCTAGTGTCTGATTCCTCCGCAGCACTCTGAGACACACAAACAGACACACTCACACACACACACACACACACACACACACACACACACACACACACACACACACACACACACAGACGTGTGTGTGTGTGTGGGCGTGTTTGAGTGTGTGTGTGTGTGTGCTCACCAGCTGGTGTGTGTTGATGGTGTGTGTGATGTCAGTGTGAAGTATCTCTGGTCTGAGGAGTGTTTGTAGTTGCAGCAGGGCTGTGTGTGTCTCCGTCACTTTTGTTTTCTTCTCCGCATGTTCCCAGTGCAGCGACGCCAAAAACACAGCCACACACTCCTGACACACACGCAGCTGCTGCTCCTGAAACACACACGCCTCGTGCCACGCCTCTCACACACACACACACACAAAGAGAGAGAGACACACACACACAGAGAGAGAGAGAGAGAGAGAGACACACACACACACACACAAAGACAC